AAAAAAAAAAAGCTAAGTTATAATTTAAACCCATTCAAATTTGGTATATTAAATTAGGAATCCGCAAGTCGCTTTTACAGTTACCAACCACCATTCTTTCACAGAGTTCCTCCTTTCTTCTGCTTTGCTTTCTCAATAAGGGGCTTCAACTGCTTCTTCTCAGCAAGAATCTTGAGAAAGTTAAACAAAAAGGGAATGTAATTGTGTTTCCGGCGAATGTTTTCGGTTCTCCATTTCTTGAATTTTTCCTCCTCGATCAAAATCTTCTCGGTGGCAGCCTCAATCCCTGAATTCACTTCCGAAAGAGATTTGTTTAGTGCTTCAAATTTGCTAATGTCGACCGGTCTCTCTGACTGTAAGGTGTTTATCTGCTGCAGAATACGCTCCCTCCTCTTTTGGAGCTCCTTGAGCTCAGCTGTGTACATCTCTTTCCTGTTCTTGATGATTGCCATAAGATTGAACCTTATTTCGCTTTTGGCATACCTTTCTATCCGTTCCTGGATTACTGGTTGCACCAACTGCAGCCAATCCATGTCGCCTTGCCCGCCAGTGCACTGTCCGAGGCTAATGGGTCCCTCCTTTAACCCATCAAGCTCATAAAGTACACCGTCAACAGAAATATAGCTTATGAAGTGGTACACGTCGTCGTCTTTGCCAGCAGCCTTCTGCTCCTCAGGAACAAAAGGCTCAGGCCTCGCAAAGCTATTGTGGGCAGTTCGTATTGATTCGCTGTTATTTATTGCTAACCCTTTGAGCTCGGGCGGAAAATTCTTTGAGAACTCTTTCAGTTTCGATAGTTCGGGGCCAATATCAACATCCGGAGAGTTCATAAGGATGGACAAGATCGCTTGAGTGGCACAAGCATTATTGATAACCTAAAAGAGGATAAGACACACATAAGAGAAAATAAAAGCTTATGCACATGGAGTTTCAACACGATAACAACAAACTTTCACAAACTAACCTGACTTGCAAAATACAAGTTAGGATTTGGATCCTTCATCACAAGGCGGTCATCCTTTTCCCCCGGCCGCCATTTGAATAGGAAAATCAAACCATAAACGGGCCTGTAAATGAGAAAGAAGAACTAGTAGTTGTAGTATTAGCTCTATTAGGATAAAACTTTGAACTATTTGTCACCATGGCATAGCTATGTTACTAAAACATATAACTAGCATCAACTCACCTTAGATTATTTAGGGAATCAAGGTCTAGGGAATACAACTCCTCGACCTGATAAAACATATTAAGTCATCATAACGGTATATTCAAAAATGCTAACCCTAACTAAATGAAAGAACCGCTATAAACATATT